TCGTACATAAAATTCACAAATCATCATCGTTCTCTTCGTCTTCGGGCAACTCGCAGGGCGCATCTTCCCCACTCGGCTCAGCCACCTCAACCACATCGCTGCACTACTCACCGATTCGCCCCGCCAAACGCACCCTAAAGAGCGACACCATCAACACATATCAAAAATGGGAGACTACCATTGAGTCCATCAGCTATGTTTCAAGTAAAACTTTGGCCATCTCAGATTATGGCTCGGATGCGGAAAGAACCAGATCTGATTCGATTTCCAACCATTCTCATTCCACAAGATCGCGTTCCATAACTCCAGTGCCGGTACCAGTGCCAGCGGCCAGAAGCGCCACCAAGGCCGCGACACCAACCAGCAGCAATAGCGCTTCGATGGATAGCAGCAGCAACAGCAGTAGCGGCATTGATAGCGGCTCGGCGTGTTATGGTGCAACTTACAAGGCAACCACCACTACTACAAGCAGTTCCAATAATAACTTCAATGGCAGCAGGATTTGTGATTCTAAATCACCGAAGCTGATTCAGTTATCGAATGGCTCGCCATTGTCGGTTAAACAGACAGGTATGTACAATATCTGTTTGGTTTTTTTTGTTTTTGTAGTTTTTTTTTTGTAAAATAATTATTTTCCATAGTTCATTTTCTTTCACTTGGCGCTCCTGCATTCATATGAGCATCTTGATTTCTTTTAGCATGTGTGTACAGAGCTATATATTTAGACTATATATATGCACCCGATGTTTATTAATCGCATTCCATATCATAATCGCTTTCATGTACATTTGTGCATTGCGTGTTTCATTTGTGTTTGTGTATAATTCATTGACTGTTTATTTCATGGTTCTAAAATTTTCGTTAATTTTCACATTCTTGCGCATACATAGTATGTACGTTAATTCTAAAGATCGGAAATTTATTTTCTTTATTTTCCACATTGGTTTTGATATAGCCATGAAGTTGATTCGAAAAAGCATTAATGTAGCGCACTATCTAATAAATCGTTGATTCGAATATCTCGGAATTTTATTTACTTAACTCCCGCCGAGAGCTTAAAAGGTCACTGTTTGTTTTGTTTCGTTTTATACTGTTAAAAATATACATATATAAGTACAAAAACTATAGTCAGCTCAAATAATTCAAAGGCCTGTTGTGATTATGCGAAAAAGTTGTATACGAATATTGGAATTTTCACCCTCAGATTCAGATTCAGATTCCGATCAAATCTCAGGGCCACAAAAATGTCAGGGTTAGAGAAAAATTTTCAGCAAAAAATTTGAAGCAAAACGAACGAATTTTCATTGCACTATTTCGATTTTGGCAGCAGCGTATTCTTATTTTGAGTTTGATATTTTGTGGTTAGATTGAAGA